AACCCCCAGACCCTGTTGGCACAGCCCCCTCCCCATCCCTGTGCCCCCAGCTACCCCCGGTGCCCCCAGACCCCTCGGGCAATGCCCAGAGCCCCCTGAGTGAGGTGATACCGGGGTGGAGGACACCCCTTGGTGACACAGCACTTTCCTCCTCCAGTTCCTGGGGGTAACTCAGCTGTGCCACCACATCCACAGTGCCCACCTGGAGCTCATCCTCCTCCTCTCCTCCCTCACCCTTACCCAGGCAGGTACTTCAGGAAAGTACCCCGTGAAAGTATCCCAGGCAGCAACCCTGTAAAGGTATCCTGGGCAGGGATCCTGGGCAAATACCAGAGGCAGGATTCCTGCGCAAGGATCCTGGGAAAGCATCTTGGACAGGTACCCAGGCAAGGACCCTGGGCAGGTAAACTGGGCAGGGATCCTGGGCAGGTGTCCCAATCAGGTCCCAGCCAGGCCAGGCCCACCCATGCCCACATCACTGTGTCCAGTGACATGCCATTGGCCTGTGCCACTCATAGGAGGGTGGCAGAACGTGCCAGGGCCCTGTGCCAGGGCCGGGAGACAGCTGCTCTAACTCTTTTATTTTGGCCTTTATTTCTTTTATTTATTGCGTAGGCATACACCCGAAACTGGACTGAGTTGAGTCTGGTCAAACTGAGCTGAATCAGGCTGAGCCAGGCCTGGGCTAAGTGAGACGAGGTTAAACTGAGCTGAGCTGAGCCAGCTGGTTCTGTCTAACCCAACGCAGGGCAAGCTAAACTGACCCAACCGGTTCCAATCTGATACAACTGCTTCTGATCCAATCTGAGCTGACTGGTTCCCATCCAATCCAACCCGATCTGACCTGATCCTTACCTGGCTGAGCAAAGCCAGGTTAAACTAAGCCAAGCTGAGCTGAGTGCTTCCAATCTGATCCAACTGGTTGTGATCCAACCTCAGCTGAGCCGAGTCGAGCTGAGCTGAACCAAGCTGGCCTGAGCCAACTGGTTCCAAACAGACACGACTGGTTCTGATCTGATCCAACGGATTCCGATCCCACCAGGCCATGATGGGGGTGCTGTGAGAGCTAGGCTGGCCCAACAGGTTCCAATACAACTCAACTGGTTCTGATCTGATCTGATCTGATCTGGGCCAGTTTAAGCTGAGCTCACTGGTTCTGGATCCAACCTGACTAGTTCTGATCCAAATCAAACTGAGCCAAACCGAGCTGAGCTGAGCTGAATCGAGCTGGGCTGAGCCAACTGGTTCCAATACTGCCCAACTAGTTCTGTTCCGATCTGACCGAGCGGTTCCGATCCCACCGGAGCGGTTCGATCTGACCCGACCCGACCCGCGCCCCCTCCGCGGGGCT